CAGGGGAAACTCATCTGCTTGAAGGTTGATGCTGCCACACGTCATGATCACGGGTTCATTGGAATCAATGTGCAATCCATCGAAAATGGGGCCATCCATGTTAGGACTTTAGGAGTGATTGACCTCTTCGATAAACACTCAGCTGACTATCTGAAAGGGGTAATCACGGCAGTCCTGGAGAAGTATGAAATAGATATTTCGAGTATCTATTTTTTCACATCAGACAACGGTACCAACATGGTGAAACTGGGGAAACTCTTCTCGGAGGATCAATCTAAACTGATTGAAAAGGACGATGAGAGCGAAGAAGAGGAGGAGGATGAGGAAGATGAAACTCCGTTAGGCGCAGATGTGTCCTTGGGCATCAACAGCTTCGAAGTCTGTACCTTGTGTAATGGCCGTGGTGAACTCATCTCCAACATACGATGTGCTGCTCACACTCTCCAGTTAGCTGTTGAGGATGCTCTCAATAAATTGAAGGGCTCGAGGAACACACTTGTGAAAGCTCGGACGGTTGCAAAAGCTTTGCGAACCCCAACCGTGAGAAAACAATTGCGGTACATGCAGCCGGGAGCAAAAAAGCCGAAGTTAGATGTCGTGACACGTTGGCACTCGACAGCGGACATGTTGGAATCATTGCTGGAAGTGAAAGATTTCTGCAGGAAGTCTTCGAAGACATTCACAGCTCTAGAATTATCCGAGAAGCAGTGGCAGTACATCGAGGATTATCTGAAGTCGCTGATGCCTGCTAAGTTTGCGACCAAACGCCTCCAAGACGAGCAGTTGACTCTTGGATCATTTTTCGGCATCTGGCTGGAATGCAAATGTGAGACACAGATGGTAAATACGTCTCTGGCAACTGAGCTCGTGACAGCAATGGAGAAGAGGGAAGAAAAACTTCTGGAGAACGAAGCACTCCTAGCCTCTGTATATTTAGATCCAAGATTTCTACCATTACTTGCGGACAAGCATCGNACTCCTAGCCTCTGTATATTTAGATCCAAGATTTCTACCATTACTTGCGGACAAGCATCGTTCAGCAGCCATTGCGAAGCTGGAGACAGTCTGGGCGATTGTGGAGGAACGCAATAA